ATGAATAGTCATAACAATAACGGTAGTAATAGTAACAATCATAACAATAATGACACTAGAAATCAAGAAAAAGGATGGCATTGGATGTCAGGACACCGGCGGCCAGTCTTGGATCCCATTGCAAGGCGGGCTTCGGCATGTAGCATGGGAAGTGGCAGGGTCAGTGACCTGTTTCAGCAACCCCATGCAAGAGCCCGCAGACATACCACGGTCTGTCGACGCAGAAGCCCCAAGCCCAAAAACTGAGGCCCTGAACCCTTCTCTGACTCTGCGAAACCCCACGAAACCAATAAACTAGGCCTTTGCGCCCTATCACTACAGGCCCCAGGCCCAAAAACGGGAGACCGGGCCGTGCCGAGGCCGCGGGGTCCTCCGTTGCCTTCTGCCGGTCGACTCTTACTCGCCACAGCGCAGCAGGTGCTTCTTCGAAAAAAAGCCATACCGGGTTTCAGGGTTTATTATATTATGATTTCTCCTATGCTGACTAATATTAGTCTCAGTATTATTATTTCTATTACTATGACTATCAAAATTTCAAGTAGGACTAGTATTACTATTATTGTTATTCGTATCATTAGTATTATAGGTCTTTTGGAGGTTTGGGGTCTAGAATTTCTAGAGTGGCTTGCGTGGGTGCCGTGGGTCCCTGTACAATCTTCCGAGCTTGAGGCAAAAGCATGGTACCGTTTTGCAAAGCGGCTGCCCATGAAGTTCTTGAAATGGATAGAGTTCAGGCTGCCTACTACCCCCGACAGGGCAGATGCTTTTCGGACTTTCAATTTCCAGGCATAGAGACACAGAGCAGTGAAAGGCCGCACGGAGATTCGTCAAACTCTCCAGACCTTTGGCCATGATTTCCGGGGACGAGCACAAGTACCTCGCAGTCTGTCTAAGTTAGCAAGGGCATTTCGAGACAACTCCAACACCGTCACTTCCATGAGGCTCTTCCACTCCAGACTTTAGGACCGCCCCCAGGACTACTCCAAGACCAATCCGCACTGTAGCAAGAGCACGGTTCGTACTCCAAAGTATGCAGCACCGGTGCGAGACAGGTCGAGGTCCGAAAGTGGCGGGAAGCCCTATGCTAAGACTGGACGTTTGAAGGGCTTCCCGGAAAACAGGAGAGCCGTGAGACTTCACCGCACTCGGCGCGATCCGGCCCGGCAGCTCCCTGAGGCACCGGGGCCGGCGGGGCCGGCGGGGCGGGGCGGGCTCAGGTTAGGTCCACGATTGGTGTCAGGAGTCTCTGAGTCTGGTGTCCCGTGCATTCCTGGCCGCGTCAGGTCTTGTGACGTGACTGCTTCTGGTCTCTGGTCCCGCTTCGTCCATTGCATTTGAAAGCGCAGCGGGAATCGTCAGCGATCAATAGGTGCCTCCGACGTTCAGCCCTTGTCGAAGCCTCGTCGCTTGCATGGGATAGGCTGGAGCTACAAGGCATGCTATAGACTCTGCGTCGACGAAATTCTCGTGGTCAAGAGACCCGCTGCACTACGAAGAATGGACCCTCGCAGTGTCGTGCATTGCAGCTGCCTGTTTTGGCACTCACGCCATACAGTGGTCATGCAAGGGTACCGTTGCAAGCTTGTAATCTGGTACGTGGTATTACAGAGGTGAGCGCATAGATGATGTCAGTTTCCAGCCTTTCAAGGTCTAAACAAGGTAGGTTTTCGAGCTTCGAGCTGCATGGGCATGATCCCAGCGAGAACTCCATGCAGTCTTCCTTTATCCATGCCTCAGACGAGCAGCCGCAAAGCAACTGCGATGTGGTATTCCCGCCTCACTTCCGGCACTATAATTCGGTTTGGCAGGGCAACTTTCCATGTAGTGGACGCATGTGACGGCAGCCTCGTGGGCTGTGCTGCTGTCTCCCGCGTACGAGATTATTTTGGAGATCGTTTTGGTCGGGGTGCTGCCATTAGTGCAGGCCCTTTGTGCTCAAGGATCCTGCGACGCCTTAGGCGTCCTGACGTTGGTCGTTGTTCAGGTATTCCACATGCAAGGCGAGTAGAGGCATGTTGCACGGTTCTATGGATTGGGAAACCCATCCTCAGATGGGGATGCTCAGGCACCCCTGCGCCTGCACAAAGGCAGGCCAGAAGGCTGCAGTGCCGAGTTCGCTACCGGACTGAATGCTGACATCTTCACAGTCACAGAGGCACGTCCCAGGAAGCATGCAGGTGCGCGTTCGTAGTTCCGTTACATATTATGCAGATGCACGACCCAGCATATGCATGTATGTATGTACATATGCACGCATGCATGCATGCATACATACATATGCACATATTACTTCTTATATAATATGGCTACATGTGTAAGACTGTATTAATCAATAGCATTCTTCCTCACATGTAGCGCAAGGCCAGATGACAATGAACGCATGTGGACAGCAGGACTTACTGTTTATGTTGCACTGCCTGGATGCTGAGTTGAAGAAATTTTTTCATGAGCCGAATTGAATTTGCCCCGGCCCCTTAGGCAGCCACGTGACCGAAGTAGGTGTGAAGAATCCCTGACAAGCCGATAAAGAAGGGTATCCATATGTATCCATCTGATGCAAGAAACAGTGGGTGCTGCAGCCGTCGTCTTCAGGTGCCATGCCCGCCGAGTTTTATTACTACATTTCCGTTTTACATTCCTGCCCTGTCCGCCTTCAGCTCTTCAACCTCTGCTTTTGAAAGGGAATGCCCGGAGCTTTCAGCCAGTGGCTTGGGCCGAAGCAACACCTAGGAGGTAGACTTACAGGATGTGTTGCCGTCGCATATCAGGCTGTATAGGTTGATCAGGACCCGGTTGGGGTGTTGGAGGCGGCATTGAGGCTGGGAGAAGATCCTGGCCATGCGTGAGAAATCTCACTTTCACAGCAACTCAAAGCTTTCTTGATCTCCTGTCGACTCAGAACGTGTGCTGCTGGCCAACTCTCACCTTCTCCCAGCAGTTTTGTTTGCAGTTTACTTCACCCGTAGCACCTCGGCTGTCACAAGATGCGGCCAGTCTGCCTTAGGGTAGCAGGCGGTGCACTGGTTTTCAAGATGCGCTGGCGAGGAACTTTCCTCCTAAGGAGGCGCTGTCCAGACTGGATCTCGAAACAATAACTTCTAAGGGGATACTTAAGAGCTGCATTGTGAGTTCAGGGAAATCCGTACACGGAAATGTTAATATCTTAGGCAGCGGCCTAATCAGATTTCTCGCCGCAGCATCCAATCGAGCGTGGTAGCATGGGCAGAGCCCATGATCTCACCGCGCTCCCCAACATCCGCGCCAAAAGCATTCCCTTCAGGTCTTCCAAGCGCACTTTCCAGCTGCACCTTTGCTTCTCTCTCTCCCTCTCCCTTCCTCCCTCTCTCTCTCTCTCTCTCCCCCTCCCGCTCCCTCCCTTCCTGCCTTCCTCCCCCCCTCCCTCTCTCCCTCCGTCTCTCTCCCTCCCTCTCTCCCTCGCCCTCGCCCTCGCCCTCGCCCTCGCGCTCGCGCTCGCGCTCGCGCTCGCACTCGCTCTCTCTCTCTCTCTCTCTCTCTCTCTCTCTCTCTCTCTCTCTCGCTCTCTCTCGCTCTCTCTCGCTCTCTCGCTCTCTCTCTCTCTCCCTCTCCCTCTCCCTCTCCCGCTCCCGCTCCCGCTCCCGCTCCCGCTCTCTCCCTCTCCCCCTCCCTCTCCCCCTCCCTCTCCCTCTCCCTCTCCCTCTCCCTCGCCCTCGCCCTCGCCCTCGCCCTCGCCCTCTCTCCCTCTCTCCCTCTCTCCCTCTCTCCTTCTCTCGCTCTCTCGCTCTCGCGCTCTCGCGCTCTCTCGCTCTCTCGCTCTCTCGCTCTCTCGCTCTCTCGCTCTCTCGCTCTCTCGCTCTCTGGCTCTCTGGCTCTCTCTCTCTCTCTCTCTCTCTCTCTCTCTCTCTCTCTCTCTCTCTCTCTCTCTCTCTCTCTCTCTCTCTCTCTCTCTCTCTCTCTCTCTCTCTCTCTCTCTCTCTGGCTCTTTCCCTCTTTGTTTCTCTGGCATTCTCTACGCATATATACATGTAGACATATGGATATAGGTAACTGTTCTATATATATATATAATATATATGTATATGTATATGTATATATATATATTATGTATATATATATATATATATATATATATATATATATATATATATATATATATGTACACAACTGTTTATTCATGGTGGGGCCTTCCATTTGCATCTCACTGCTCTTTCCATTATATACTTTATAGGTTCCCGAGATAGACTGCGTTATACATAGGTATATATATATATATATATATATATATATATATGTATGTATGTATGTATGTATGTATGTATGTATACTCTGTGTCTGTAAGTATGTACCTACTTGTTTAGCATCCGTTCACATTATACACAAGTAGACACAGAGAGTAATATGGCGATGATGTAGTGTGTTCGTTACGTGTGAATGCACATGTGCCGCTTCCTCTACGCGTACAATGCATGCTGTAGCTGGCCATCGGCTGTGTTGCTTTCATCCGAAACGGTGTGCTGCTTCAAACATACAGTGCGCTTGATCATAGCAAGGTATGAGCGACGGCAACCGATAGTTTCCGTGCATGATCAGCCATGGTCGTAAACTTCGCGCACGGTGCCGCCATTCCCAATTGCGGAGAGGCTTGCTCGTGGTGATAAATGTATAGTTGCAGGCTGCAAGGAAGCGCAGCACATGCCAGTTGGCCATTCATCAGGGCTTCATCGCTAAGATCGGATACGGGATCACTGTGGTATCCCCAATTGGAGGTTGTTTTGCTGGTTTCCTGGCTCACATGGAAAATGCGAGGGCTTCCATGTCATTAGGGTGCCTCCACAGGAAGGACCAAGAGAATCGTACATCTTTCGTCGTCGAGGAAACAAAGGACCTGATCGGGAGAAGGACTCAAAAGTGGCAGAGGACCAATGCCTGTTTGTGACCCAGGACGACGTAATATCATGAAAGCAAGAGCAAAGCGACACACCTTCACCCCTTCAACTTAAGCTCAAAGCCCCAAACAAACGATGCCGCACCCGCCGTATGCCCATGGGTGGGAGCCCCGGACAGACTTCGCGGGGACCGCCGGCTTGAGCTTGTTGAGAGCTTATCATGCCTATCGGAGCGTCCGGGCCGGGCCCAAGGGATTCAAGTGGCAGTCTTTGTGTTAAAACTTTCAACACGAGTCCGAGGACATGCTTCATCATGGATCTTGCGAATCTGACTTTCTTCGCGACGATTGCTCTAGGATTGTGTTCGTGCTGCAGGGTCAACATGCGCAGCCGCGTGCCTCAGACGCGAGAAGATATCAGTTGCATGCACATCTGCACCACGGCCATCTCATTGTCGTTCCTACTTGCTGCTGGAACTCAAACAATCAGCTGAGAGATTCTGGAGAGTTGATTGATGCTTCTTTCATCGGATTCGGACATCCCATGCCCTTGAATATCGGCAGCCAATCTGTCTTAGACTGTTATTTGGCGTGCCATGGGCCATTTGAAGCAGCTTCACAGACATGCTAACGCACGCAGAAGCGTGCGAAGCGTGCTAGCATGCAGCCTGCAAAAGCCAAGCCAAAGCCCCCAGGCCCTCCCAAGGCGAAGTCGGTAGCACCTGCCAAGCCAAAACCACAAGTCCCAACTCCCGATGCATCCAGCCCGGGCCCCCTCCCACCCACAGCCACCGCAAAGCCTGCAGCGCCGAAACCTGTAGCCCCGAAACCGGCCGCGCCAAACACCGCGGCTCCCGCTGCAACTGCCCCCGCAAAGCCTGCAGCCCCAAACCCGGCACCTCCAGCGAACACCGCACCCGCAACCGCAACAGCCCAGCCAGCAAAGCCGAAGCCGGCTGCCCCCGCAAAGCCTGCAGCCCCAAACCCGGCACCTCCAGCGAACACCGCACCCGCAACCGCAACAGCCCAGCCAGCAAAGCCGAAGCCGGCTGCCCCCGCAAAGCCTGCAGCCCCAAACCCGGCACCTCCAGCGAACACCGCACCCGCAACCGCAACAGCCCAGCCAGCAAAGCCGAAGCCGGCTGCCCCTGCAAAGCCTGCAGCCCCAAAACCGGCACCTCCAGCGAACACCGCACCCGCAAACGCCCAGCCAGCAAAGCCGAAGCCACCATTTCCGGCTCCTGCTGAAGCTGCCCCCGCAAAGCCTGCAGCCCCAAAACCAGCACCTCCACCGAACACCGCACCCGCAAACGCCCAGCCAGCAAAGCCGAAGCCACCAATTCCGGCTCCTGCTGAAGCTGCCCCCGCAAAGCCTGCAGCCCCAAAACCAGCACCTCCAGCGAACACCGCCCAGCCAGCAAAGCCGAAGCCGGCTGCCCCCGCAAAGCCTGCAGCCCCAAACCCAGCACCTCCAGCAGCGAACACCGCACCTGCACCCGCAACCGCGCTGCCAGCAAAACCGATCCCAACTCCCGCGCCCGCAGCTGCGAAGCCGAAACCGAAGCCAGGCGGTGTGCCTGCAGCCCCAGCTGGTGCAGATCCCAAAGCTGCCAAGGCCGTGCAACCAAGTCCAGCCAAACAACCGATCCCCAAGCCTTTGGACGGCAGCACAGCGAAAGCAGTAGCCGTCGCCCAAAAAGCGGATGCACCCAAGCCGGGTGCTTACCCAGAAGCAAAGAAGGCACCGCCAGCAAAGATGGCTCCTCCGAAGGCCCCAGAGGCAGAGGTACCAGCTGGTGCGAAGATCGCAGTTCCCGGCAAGCCGAAGGCTCCGCCAGCCAAGGAGGGAAAGGCAGTTGGAGCGCCCAAGCAAGGTCCCAAGCCAAGTTGCTTAGCCGAACTATAGAGCCGTATGCTGTAGGTAACTGATATGCTCTCATCCTGCCTTCATTTCGACAAACACACCGAGGTCAGCCCGCTTTCAAGCCGCCTGCCAAGGTGCCGCCCAAGGCTGTAGCATCGGAGCCAGTGCAGGTCCATGCCGCGGCAGTTGTGGAAGGTCCTGTTGCCGATGTGGTTACAGCGGCTGCGGCAGAGGGTGATGTCACTGATGGTGTGGCAGAGGGCCCTGTTGCCGATGCAGCGGCGGTTGGAATTCAGAAATTTCTTTGCAGTCAGTGAAATGATGGAGTCCCGGGGGGCTGTTGCGGGAGATGGGCTTTGTACACAGGTGTGGGGTTACTCGGCGCCCCAAACTGCCAAATCATTAATCCTGAATAAATGATACATTTCGCCACAAAAGACAATGCAAGGTGGCTCCACCGGCTCCGCATAACGACCCAGTGTCGGCTTCAGGTGAGGATGCAGTTGCAGAGGAGGCACTGCCCTTGGCAGAGTCCGAGAAAGTGGTCGAGCTCGTGGCAGCAGCGGAGAGCCCCGAAGAGCAGCCTTTGCAAGCCGATCCGCCGGGCCTATCCACGCACGAGAAGCATGTGGCCGATCAGATCGATTCAGATCTGCCCAGGACGTTTCCGAACATCGAGGAGCGGAAGTCTGAACACTTCTGCAGATGTGTTAGGCTCCAGTGCGGCCTTCAAAACCTTAAGTTTTCTTTCTGTTTGCATTGATCCACATGAATGACGAAGCCAGTATGCGGTTTGACAGAACACGAAGCCTCAGACAGTGTTTTGGCGAACGCAGCTTTAATCAGAGTAAATGATGAGTGATTGAGGCAGCCTGGCGTCATACTCTGATCATATACGTGAGGCCATCTACGATTACATCTCTTCAGGACGTCCAGGCGCAGAGGGCCACCATTCGTGAGGTCCTGCTGGCCTTCAGCAAAGCAAATCCGCATGTCGGCTACTGCCAGGGTATCGCAGCAGCACTAAGAAGCTTTTTCTTGGGCGTCTGAATAACCTGCTTCAAAGCTGGGACTCCCGGTGGACAAGACCCGCCGCTGGTAGCAACCCCGTAGTAATTGCAGAAGGACACACCAAGCTGACGAAGACTGAGTCCTGCAGACAGATCAATCAAGCTCAAGGCTTAACGCCCAAATAGCAAGGATGTGCAGCTACCGGCAACCCACACCGGAATAGCCCGTCACGCGACATCGCCTTGTAGGGAAAGAACCACCACGACCGCCACCGGCCGAGCAAATACAGCAACAATAAAAATAATAAGCAACTTGTATCACACAAAGAACAGTCACACATACGTAAACTGTTACATATGTATATGTTATGTACATATATATATATATATATATATATCCACACATATGGATATACACGCATACACACTTGCTTCAAGGTTGTCTTCGCATGTCACGCAGGCAATAAATAGGACGAGCAACTTTGGCTGTGTCGCCCAGTCTCTCTGGAGGGTCTCGTTCGGCTTACCTTTCCCCTTTTCCGTGTTTTTTCTGAACACGGCGTATCGACGAAGCTAAGGATAGGATTCCCGTGCTACATAGATGATCACCTGCCGGTTCATAGCGTCATAGACACCTTCCCTCGTAGAATTGAGGCAGTTTGAGGACCGCAGTGTGGGCATTCAGTCCCTCGTTTTGGGTGATTGGCAACAGAGCGAGTATCGCAACAACCGCCGGAAAGCAGCCAGCAATAGAGAGTGCCCACGCCTCAAGGACACCAACTCCGAAAGTCAGCAGCAACAGGAGCAGCAGCAGTGGCGCAAGCCAGAACAAGCGGTCTTCAGAAGTGTATGCGGTAGGATCGAACATTACATGTGAGTAGACACGGCGAGTTGGCTGTCGAGGCATGAGCTTTCCCGCGGCCGTGCTTTGTGTCCACCTGCCGGGTTCTGCCTCGGAGCAGTCTCTGGGACGCAAAACCTTAGGTGACACCTTCTCCTTCTCAGGCTCAGGGCTTGTTGTACAAGTATAGCGAGTGTTCTCTTTCAGCCGCTCACCGCCTTTCGATCATCAGCCAACAAGCAGCTTCATCTTCGCGATGTGTCCTTTAGCCGGTATGAAGCTGATGTGTTGCCCGACGGTTGCACTTGCAGTGGCTCAGCGAGCCTCCATTCAAGCGATGTGCGAAACGAAGCGTTTGCTTTGATCTATGCCATGAAGGTTGCATTCGGTGGTTCCCAACTCCTTGCCTTGTAGTTGCAACTCATAGGTGTGACCCGCGAGACGAGACTGAAGCTCAAGACGGTGGCGCCACGTTGGATACTAAGGTTTCAAGCCTGTCTGGAAAATGTGCGCGAACTGTGGCTGCCTGGCTTCCACCTCTTCGAGACTGCGCGCCTGGACTTTGAGAAAGAGCTCGGAGTTTTGGAATTTCCATCCCCCCCTCCGCCCCCTGAGGCCTTTTGAGAACCTCCAAGCCCGCCCAATTGACATCAACTGCTGTTCATGGTAAGTGAGCGCATGGGTGGCTCGAAAGAAGGTGGAGTTTATCAAGCATTTCCCATATATCTCGAGTTGGAACCCTCTACCGGAGTGCGATCACACCTGTTATGCGACAGGAAGTATGCCTTCGACGCACTTTTGGCACTGCAAGCCCCGAAGCTCTCTCGGTCGTTCCAGTCTCAGGCCAGGCTTCCGAAAAGGTGTCCGGGGCTTCGGCTTCGGGTACCACCAGGTTTGCTTCTTAGGGCCTCGTTGCTACGGCAGCTATGGGCGGTTTCTGTTTGGTCTGGGGGTCGCGATGTTTTTCGCTGCGGTAACCAGACCCGCTAGAGACACGCCTTCAAGATTGAGACATCTGATTTGCGGCAGGGACAGCAACGAACAAAGCCCTGTGAGTAGGGCATCATCATCGATGTCTTTCTTCTGGATGCATGGCTCACACTCTTCGCGCGCTGGCTGCCGTTCCGCCTGCTTCCAGAAGTCTTAGAGTCTTGGCGATTTGGACTCAGAGCGCTGGATGGGGAGAGGTACAATCATCCCGCACTGCTCCTGGACATATAAGGATACTGAAGCTTCTGCGGCAGTGCCGGCCGTCTTGTTGCGACAGCCCAGGAATACATCAAGTGCCATGGTTTCGCTGGCATTCTCAGCCTCACTGCCTCTTAGCTTGGATAGGGACCTTTGGGACGTCCGTGCATCATCGATTTCTGGACTCTCACTATTTGGAGTGAGCATCCTACCAAGCCCAGTGCACGCTCTTCAAGCGAGCACCCTCATAACTTCAACTTGTAGCATGGTGCTGCCATGTAGCATGAGCTATCTTGAGCACGGAATTTGCTTAGTACTTTTGCAAGCTTTCAAGTTCTTGCCTGTCTCCTGGCAGAGGTGGCAGTAGTGGACGCCCATGGCGCAAGCATCGGTGGCGTCGAGCCCGCAGATGCTCTCCTGGAGCTTTGGAAGTGCTTGCAGTGGGAGGAGCTTCTGAAGCTGGCGCATCTAAAATGGTCATGTTTCGGAGTTTCGGGACTCAGCTCCCTGGCTACGAAACTGCTACAAAGCCGCTTCCGCCCCGATCAAGACAGGAAGAATCTGAGTTTCACAAATAAGAAACAAAATTACTTCATAATCACAATAACGCACATTATTGTTTAATTATTGTTTATATAACAATGTTAACTATAACTCCCCCTAAGAGACGTTGAAAGCACCGCAGCCTTCGCAGGATCGGGAGCCTCGCCTCGATGCCTTGTTCCGGACTGCTCAAGGCCAGGACCCAGCAGCTGTCGACTCTGTTTCAACTTCCCTGGAATTATATACATATGTATGTATGTATATATATATATATATATATATATATATATATATTTTTTATTTATTTATACATGTTACACACATATACGCACACATCTATATATATATATATATATATACATATATATATACACGCACGCACACGGCCATATACTTCATATACTTACCTTATATATATATATATATACATATATATATACATATATATATATTCCATTTCTTGTTTGTTTGCTTATGCTCTTATGTAGTTATATATGCGTAAAGTTGTATATATAGACATATGTATATATATATATATATATAGTTGTATGTATCTAAGTTTGAGAGATGTGAGAGCGTGCGAGTATGAGCACGTCCGCCTACTATGCTTGAGGAGAGCCGAGTACATGTCAATGAATGTGTAGAAGGAAATGTCGAATCGGCAAAAGGCGTCTGGGGCCTCGGATGCATTGGTGGAAAGAAGTCGAGGAAGCCCGATTTGTGCCTTGCAGGGCTGCGCCCACGTGCTTCGGAGCTGCTCGCCGAACGCCTTGCCGCCAACAAACTGCCCGAGCTTGCATTCCAGCGTCGAGGCCTTGAGTTATCTTCGGGTGCATTGCAGCTTGTGCAGATAGTCGGGCTCCGTCTAAGTCTGTTCTGGCTCGTGTCTTTGGCGAGTTTTCTTTCCGTGTCCGTGCCTTTCTTGTTGCCTCTTGGAGCACACTCTACACTCCACACTCCGAGCCTGCGCAGGTTCGGTACTCGTATCACGGCTTCCTACCATGGATACATGTTTGTCATGTCACTTAGCCATAGTGTGGCTACCACATGGTGGCATGAGTCGCCTTGTATTTTCGATTGCATCATCAGCACTGTTCAACATTTCCTTACACGTTCACATACCAGGCAGTCGCGAGCACAGAGCATATTGCATGTTCAACAGGACCCCGGGTGGTACATCCTGATTCTGGCATCGACTTGCTCGATGTCTTGTCGGAGCAGTCCTGGCAGAAACTCGGCTTTACTTTCAGGCATACCGAGACATGCTGTCGCAGACATGGCTGCAAGGGTATGTTCGGGGGCAGGTAGAGGTCTCCGCCGTCGCTAGCGCCGACATTCCATGCAAAGTTACCAAATCTAGGGGTGCAGGTGTAATTTGTTTAGTCGGATGGAGCGGCCCCAGACCAAGCGTGCTCCCCCTTGTGCCTGCAGATGTTGCATGAACTCCCAGGAAGTGGAGGGCACAGGCCGAAGAACTACGCAACGCCAGATCCCTGGGCAAAGGCCGCTGGCCCGAATTTTCCGAGAGTTGGAATTTCTTGCGCTTTCCATTGAAGGCTTTTGGGCGATTGCATCAGTTCGCTAGGACTTGACGGACATTACTCTGAATTCCAGCATTTGAATGTTTCTGGCGGAGGCACCCCCAAGTCGACAAAAAGCTTGAGCTTCCTCAGCATTTTCCGCTGCGGCCGCGTGCGACTCTTGGCTGAGATCGTTGCCGCATCGAGCGCATGCGTGGGCAACGAGTCATTGCGATTTCGATCCGTTTGGGGACTACGGGGGTCATGCTGCGGAAAAGTACAGGCTGCCATGAGTCGCCAGTGGAAGCGTGCTGCGGACCAATAGAAAAGGAGCCCAAATCCAAGTCATACAGATCACGGTTGACGACTCAAGTGAAGGCAAGGATTGACGAGCCTATAGATTCTATACAGAAGTTGTTAGGATTTCACCAATACTTCCCTCGGAAGATCAGAAAATCGGAATCCCAATGCTAAGCTGCCAACCATGACCATGAATGTAATGGGAGTTGCTCTACCTCTCCATTCGGTCTAGACGAGCCCGGTCTAAATTGTCTAAATGATGTCATACAGCATACACTCTGAAACATCAAAAGAGAGCTGCTTCTATACTCTATAGAGTATTGGTTCTATACTCTCGGACAGCTATAGAGTACATACTTGTTCTATACTCTGTAGAGTATCGAAGCAGCCTTATTGTCACGGAAGAGTTCCCACCCCGCTGTGGACCCCAGGAGCAGAGTCGGACTCTGAGGAGACTCCGCCTTCCAAGGCTGCACACACGGAGTGACGGAGTAGTGTAACCAAGAGGGACTATATATATATATATATAGGTATATATATATATATATATATATACATATATATATATATATATATATATATATATATTCGTTGTATAATATGTATATATAAAATTATATTGGTTGATACATATTACGATTTTGGAATTAGGTCCCCCCGAACCATGATTATTAGGCTTGTCTTTTGGAACCTAATCCCACAATTGTAGTGTATATGGACCCTTTGGGTAAGCAGCACAGGGTGAACCTGGCCTCAGGCGTAGGATGGCTTAGGCAAGGCTTGATACATGACCAGACACAAGTTTCTGTACGATGTAAATGTACGTAAACGGAGCCTTTGCTATACTTCTGCAAGTAGTAAGTAGCTGTCAGCTGTTGACGGCAAAATATATTGATTGTGGTAGATGTCCGCATTCCTTCCTGCACGTCGCAGTGTACCATTCGAAGCGGCTACAACTTCCGCGTAAGTGCTGTTGTTGGCATATTGCCGTGTGCTGCAGCCATGTACAATATCTCGATGGCGTCGGACCCATCCATCCGTTGGATGATTGAATCGTTTCACTGCCGCCCTGAGTTTGAAGGCATCGTGCATGTCGGCATCTATCAACTGCACGTGTGCATGTTGGTCAGGGGGGCTTCCCGCTTGGCAGCCTCTCTTCTGCCTTTCACCTTATGCCATTTACACTTCTGGAGTGGTAGGCATGACATACCGTGCTGAATGCTGGAATGGGAGTCCAAGTTATCTGAGAATGCTTGCGTTGTTGGCACCGACGCCTAGCGAAAAGGCAAGGTTCCACATTCATCCTAGATCGCTAAATGGAAGCATTCCCACAATTTGCTAGCAGGCAGAGCCAGGTACGTTAATGAACTGTGCGCAGCAGCGGCAGCGCACCCCGAGTTTGGGACCTCATCAACAGCACTTATAACTTATAAAACAACAACGGGCAAGCACTGCAGGTTCCGCATGTGGCAAGGCTTAGGGGTGGTATAGGCCACGGACTCACCCAGACCTAGTGCTGGTGGCATCAGGGCTGCACAAAAGGCCCCCAAGCCCTGGCAGCGATCAAGGACCCAAACTCAGCAGTGCGGGTAGCCAAAGTCAGATCGCGGATAGAGCCAGTGCTGCACACGTCGAAGATAGCAGCAATTCGTCGCCAGCACAGAAGTTTGGCTAGGCTGGTGCTACTAATTTCTGGCGATATACGGCCAGATGCGACGGGTGCTGACTCGCGTTGACCGGAGGCAGGAAAAAGCCTCACTAATGCTGATGCCGGATGATGCTCCCTACTTGTACTGTACAACCACCGATGCCGAACAAATTAACACACTCGCATGCCGCCCTGCACTGGTGCAGGCGATGGTCGCATCTGCAATCAAAATTACTGAAGGCAACGCGCTATCTACTTTGATCATGCTGTTCGCATGTTCAAGACAGGACGCAGCATGGTTGCTATTATACTGCCTTTCGTTTGTCGAGTTCGCGCGAACTACATAACTCAGATGCATGTCTTTCCACGCCAAGGGTCCAGCCGAATTTCGTCAAGGCCAGTGTGCGTTGCTTCTCCTGGAGAAGCGCATGCGTGGAAAGTATGACATCTGCAGACCTTCCGCTCCTAGCCATCACTCCCGGGATGCAGTAAATAAGCCCAAGTTGGAAAGTCGGAGCCCTCTCCCATTGCTTCGTTCCCGACCGCGACCGTGTCAGTGATACTGCACCTTGTTACTAGTAGCACTTCCGCCTGCTGCGCGAGGATGCATCGCTGGAGTACCTTCAAGCACAGCTGTCAGGCCCCTGCTTTGATGCCCCCTTTTTGGGAGTTCCTTGCTTAAAGAGACCTCCTCGAAAAGACGAGCGATTTTGTATTCCCTGGCCCTCAACTCTGAATCCTTTGACTTCAAGTGCGCATTGCACGGAGGCAACAAGACGCCGCTGTCCCTCCGCAATCCGCGGCTGGATCCGAGGCAGACTCTCACGCAGGGAGGTTAGGAGACAACGTGTAGCTCCTCTGGAATTGAGTAGCAGCGGCAGAGTCCTTTCCTGCATCCCGACTTGGGCTTTCGTACGAACTGTGATTGTTGGTGTCTCTTCACGCAGGTGACACACAAGCGCTCATGAAGTCGCCAGTTGTTTTAGCACGACTCTCTAGAGTTCTGCTCTTTGGCAGCTCAGGGCTCGGGAAGCACCGATGCAGCGGCACGGCTCCACGCCGAGGCCCAGAAAAAGACTCGAGAATCTCAGAATCTTCCTAGGCAAAGCTGAGGCCAAAGGCTGTAGACTGCTGGGCTGGGCGAGCACAGCCCTGAACACCTACCTGCCCGACTTGCAACAAATTTAGATGTTTTAGTCGCCGACTGCGACCCGACAGACTTCATCTGGAGAGTCCGAGGTGTGAGAGCATAAGTATCCTAAGCATCCTGCAAGAACTCATAGAATTTCCTGGCTGAAAGGGGTAGTGGGCTTAGCAGTTGGCTCACAACTTAGGCATACTAACTGAGGCTGCAGGCTGCAGTTCTAACAGGTATAAGTGGCAGAAAGTACTCTCACCTGGCAGCCCGTTCCCTATGCGGTCTGTGTGTAGGACCAACAACCTCTGCTTTCCAGCCCCCCCCCCCCCCCCCCCCGCGCCCCGATCCTCCCAGCAGTCTTTGGTTCAAGTTTACCTCAAAGCCAGCGGTGATGAAATATGGCGGCATGACCATTGGAGAGACTAAAAAAACTGTCTCATTAACGCGGTATCCCTTCATGAAGTCAGAACTGTTGGCAAGCTGGAGCTCCCTGCCAGGCAAGGCAAGGAGAAGGAAGCTGCTTCCAACGACACGCATTTCGTCGTTCCCTCGGAGTTGGGCTTCCCTTCATGGCATAGTTCCTGTAGCTTCTGTTGCGCAGTCCTGCGAAGTCCGACAAGGTGCCCTTGCGACAGAGCTTGAACTCCTCAGAAAGCTGCAAGGCAGTGGCAGCCCGGGCTCTCGGATACTTCTAAGCATGGGTCAGTCATCGTGGCTTCGCTACCCTAGGCCACGAAAATATCAGCTGCAGTTTCACTGCGAGAAAGTGAGCAACTGTCAAGCTCCGAATCAGGGGAGATGTCTTCGCTTCACATGTAGGGTGTAGCATGTAGAAAGAAAGCGTCCATGTTTGGCCCCATGAATCCCAGTGCGGGCTCCAATGCATCTCGCGCCCGCTGCCGCTGTTTTGGTTTGGTCATGAAGCGGCACGCTATGAGAGGCTGCATCAAGCCAAACGAGAGCAGAAACCTTCCATGCCGGTCCTGACAGCCTGCGTAAGAACCAGCAATCGACGCGCAGCACCATCGATTCAGCCTCAGCCGTTCCCAGCCGGGTCCAAAGCTTCCAGGGCAGTTCTAGGCTGCATGGCGCCGCCCGGAGGATGAAGCGGGCGCGGCCGAAGCTCTCTTTCGACGATTCCTCCGAAGACGAGGGTGCTGCCTTGAGCTACGGTAGACAATATACTTGCTTTCGAACGATTATTGATGCGGGTCTGCTGGCGGTTCAAGAGTTGGGCTTTTTGGAGGCCAAGCGTCCGAACAGGGTGCCTGCAAAGCACAAGGAGTCGGAACACTCCGAGAGTTTGAGTTGGATGCGGCTTTGTTGCAGGTGCTCCGAAGGCCCAGAAGACGCTTCTTCAGAGAGGCCTGCCGAAGCTTCCACCGAGCCAGGAGGCCCGCGACTGGATGTCTCATGACAAGAACCGAACCTGCTTGAAGCCGGTTCTGGAGGAAACCGCCGAGAAGAATGATGTTCCAGAAGCGCAGACATTGGCGCAGGCAGGCCTCACTTCTCAGGTTAGCATAGGCTACCTCAGGTAGCAAGTAGATGCCCGCCGCAAGGAAGCCAACTTCAAAACATCCCAGTAGGAGCCTTGTGCTTTTCGAGGTGGCGGCTCTGCGCCAGGCCCTAGGCCTCAGCAAGAGGCGCGATGCTGCCGCAGAAGCTCCCGAGGCCAGGACCTTGCGCCTGAGGTGAGTCTGCCGGAAGCACGGTCAGTGCCAAGGAGCGTGTCGGTGAGTCTTCTGCAGCTGCAGTGAAGCTGCGCGGCTCTCGGTGCTGAGTGCTGGGCCTGCATGATCGAAACAGATATACTTTCACCATTGATATCGTAGATTCTCCAAGTTTTCGAAGAGTGGAGGCCGCCGCTGTGACCAGTTGCTCGAAACGTGTGCCGCATCTGTAGCACCGTCTGTGACGTGCACGAACATCTGAAGAACAAGACTTTCTTGCTAGCCTATCTGCCAGAAGGTCTATAGACACAGCAGAAGGCCAAGGCATGTTTTCCTCTGTCTCGTATTCGCTTGGCAAGGCCAGCCAGCATGCGAGACATCCAGACATTCTCGGTGCCTCGGCCCGAAGATTCGGCAGTTTTGTATCCGGCCGGGGGTTGGTTTTGCTGTGTTGGCCAGTGCGAAGCAAAGCATATTGAAGCATCAACGTGTGACGCTCCTATGCCATACCGCGCAACGACTGAATCTGCAACTGCTTGCGGAGAGAGGAAACTTGTCCACGGAAAGCTGGGAAGCCCACCCTCGCCATTTTCACAGCTAGACTCATCGGGGATACCTCATGAAAGCAGGCTGATTGTCCTTGTAATTAGTGATTTGTCAAGCCCTTTCAGAAACGCTTTCGATAGTCTTTCTGCCAAGGAATTCCTTCGACTAAGTCCGGCCATCCAAGAGGCCTCCATGAAGATGTCAGCCGAGGCCCGTCCGGGCTCCTCTTTGGAAATCGAGCACACATGGAGTTTGCGCGCATAATAAACTGATGGGTAAACTTGAAAAAATAAAACCACAGTAAGTTATATAAATCATGATAGCAGTAACAGCAGTGACAATGGGCACAATCATAACAACAGTGGTTTACAGTAGAACTAATTAGTATTGTCCAGTCACCGGCGAGAACAACAGATCATGATCACCGATAAAACCGAATCATCAGCATAACGGATCAGAACTATTCCAATATATGGACATGACAATATAAAGATAGAGTAAATACACATCAATGGATGCATGGATGCGCTGTAGATGGGTATATGTAGATACACAGACAGGAAGACAATCCCCTGCCATGTCAGCCACATACCTTGAACATGGACCGTGCTGAAAGCCTGTAGGAGCTGACAGCCCTATGCGAGACAGCTGCCGCCTGGCGGCACCCACACAGACCGTCTTTCACACCGAGACCTGCAACCAGCACCAAGCTGCATGTTCAGTCCCCTTCGCGTGCCCACCACGAAGAAGGGCAGGCTCACCCGGTAGTAGCACCTCCCTTTGCCGCGCCTGCCAGTATCACAACCGCGCCCAAGACCACACCAACACAAAAACTACGACACAATCGAACCGCAGGTATGCAATGAAGGTTGCTAGCGCCCAGGAGTTCTCTTTTGCAAAGTCGGGCTGCGCACTCTTCCGGATGGTCACAGCCAGAACTTCGCATGTTGGAAGAATGAATGAGATTTCGGGCAGCCAAGGCTCGGCTGAAGTTCTTCGATGGTGAGCTCTTCGAAGCTGTCTTCGTGCATATCAGGCCGCAGGAATGCATAAAGAGAGCCATAGCTCGCTTTCAGGCCGTGCCAGAGGGTACTTTGCGGTTAAGCCTTCCTGTGCTGAATGCACCTGATCCTCGAATGTTTGCAGGTGTCGCATCCGCTGGGGTCAGTTTGACATTCATCAAGTGACGGCCGTGGCCCAACACCTCGTTGCTGCTCGGCAAATGTTTGGGGTTCAAAGCTGTGTCATGTAGGCATGCTTATGTTTGCATAAGGACCTGAATGCCATCGACGCGGATGTCTTCCGTGACGCGATGTGCTCAGGGACCAGATGCCGACACATCTGATATATACGGTAGATTGCGGGAGTGACGGATGAGGAAGCATGCTTTGTTCAGGCTGGTGCCACGTGACCAGTGTACTGCGATGTACTATGTACTGTGCAGATTTCGTTGAGAGGTCAGAGTAGGAAAAAAGGGCTGCCACACCATCATCTGGCCGTTTTCGCACGAGTCAGTCTTGCTTCTTTGTTGTCGTCGACGTGTGGTCACGAGGTGACGCAGTGGCTCCTGCCCCGAGTTGGGAACATGTCCAAGGCGGGTGTCGTGCTAAGAAAGGGCGGCAGCTGGCACAACAGAACTGCGAATCGAGTTTGTCTGCCAAGACGCAGCGATTCTCGTTGCAGTGTCTGTTGCAGTCTTGGCTCTCTCCCAGCCTTTTGCAAGCTGCCAGTCATGAAGCGAGCATTTGTGGTTAATCAAGTCGCAATCCACACACTCTCAGACTCGGAAAACAATCAAGACCCCCAAAGACCCCAAAGCTCAAAACTTCCCCGGTTGCCCAAGCTCTCGGAGGCCATGCGCCTGCAGTGGCTGAAGCTCATGGCCTCGATGAAGACGGAGCGTAGCGAGGACGTGCCGAGGCTCAGGTTTTTTTCAGCCTTTCGCAAGATTTCCCCCCCCGGAATCCGGTTAACATACTGGTAAACATAAGCGTTCTTATATGTCGCATCAGCCGGCTTTTCTGGCTCTTTTTGGGCGCACTTGGGTTCAAGTAGAGCACGGCCCATTGGTTTCTGCACCTAACTGGGAAAGAGCTAGGACGGCCCGGAGCAGAAATCTGAAGCGTCCGAGCACGTGCAAAATCAAAACGAAAGCAGAAAAGCTAAAGCGGCAATCCTGCAGACCTGCAGGCATTGCCAAAGAGTTTCATGGCGAATCTAAGCCCAGGCACATGCAGGCACCTGGAGCAAACAAGAACCTCAGCCTGGGCCTATTCCTCAAGGGGGAGGGAGAGGCAAACTGCAAAGCTGCACACCCACACGGTTGAGGTTCAAGCGCAGCTGTGCCCATCCAACACTACCGTGTTCAATGACTGATTGCGCATACACCTGGAGTTAACAGTTAGTAGCTCAAACCAGACCGAAATGAAACTTGACATCTGGCTACCTTGTCATTGATAGCCATCTTGGCCATCGCCATGAGAAACATGTCCAATCTCAGAAAGATCTAGGCAGCTCGCCGATGATGCGCCCAAGGTTGCGCAGCCCTCCACAATTTTGTTCATGTAGGACTCCTCGGGGCTAGAGTAGCCCATCCAGCAACGCCGTGGGGAGCATGCTGATGACGAACTCGAAGGGGGCGAGGACGATATCAACGTCGGCATTGGGGAACTGACCAAAGCTGAAGGCCGTCTCTGGGTTGGTATAAACGTTCATCGTCAATTTCAAGCCTATCCAGGGAAGCTCGCCAGGATTCTTAACGAACTCTGTTGAGTACCTGCAAACGGGTGCTCATGTTGATGTTTACGGAGTGGACCCCAAGGGCACCACCGGGAATATAGTCGTCGGCACATCGAAACAACTGCTTGCGCCGCGCCGCTAGAGCAAGACAAATCTTCCCCAACCAAGCGGCGCGGCGGTTCATGCCGATGCAGGCTGCGCCGAAGATGCAGAACCACAGCACAGATCAGCACAGCAGACATTGAGGGCAGAGTGTACGCGACCACCTGATTCACGATGCATTCGCGAGAGAGGCGGGCTTGGAAAGTGTGCCTACGATCCACCAGTCCACGCAAGCAGGGTTGACGTCCTTGCCGAGGTTGGGGTGCCCAGTTCCCAGATCCCTTTTGGTGAAGGTGAATGCAATCTCAATGAAGTGGTTCGAACAGTAACCGACTGTCAGGGCGAACACAACTACCATCAGCACCTTGCTGCAAAGGGAAGCGCTGTAGCAGACCGTCTTGATTCCTGCCACGACGGAGAGCGTGGCAGAAGCCGTGATGATGGCAATCACCTCTGTGGTCGTGTTGGCCAGCTCGTCCTCGGTCGGAGTGGCGTCGAGCCAGCTTTTGGCGAACTCCATTCCCTGCACGGCCATATGGGAGTTTTGGGGCCGCTTCGCAATCTGCGCTAGTGCAGTCTGCGAGCCCTTGCATGCATGCACACATACATACATGCCTATGTATCATAGACACACCTCTCGTTGTTTTTGTTCGTTCTAGTTCTCGATCGATCTCTCTATCTCGTACACGGGTCCGAGGCTGAGCTCACTAAGCCTTCAAACACTTTCGGACCTTTTCCCAATAAGGATGAGGACTTCGAGGAGAAGTTGCGCCACCTGGCTTGAAGCAAGCCGCAAGCCTTCAGGGCATCTTCAAAAGAGAGCCCCGTGCACCTGTCGAGCCCAGGAACACACCCCTTGCCTGGTGGCGGGGACTTTACCGAGCGTGGAGATTCCCCATGAGCTCATCGCAGGCGGCATGTCGAGTTCGGCGATGGGTTGTCGAATAGAGGTTGCAATTTCAGGCCTGGGCCAGCATCTGCGGACATGTTGACTTCGTGCTGCACGGTCGACCTACGAACATGTTGCGATTGCCAGTTCTGTCGGATGTAATCCCCACGATCTGTGCAATTGTTAATCCACAGAGAGACAGGGAGAGAGAGAGAGAGAGAGAGATGAGGCATTGCCAATTTGCATAGGGTTGAAGAACGAAGAACTCCCCTGTACCGCACTTGGGCCATTGAGGTGTTTTGCCATAGTACATTAGTACCTATCACACCTCACAGATTCAATTTTGTCGCCTTGAGCCGTTTCAACATTTGTGCTGATCCACTGCTAGGACAAGTTGCCAGATCTACCCTAAACCCCTCATCGTAAGACTCCAACCTTACATAGATGGACAAGTTCAGGCCGAGAGTATGCAGGGTCTATAAGAATAAGGCTTGGGCTGTTTGAATGTTTTCGTGCTGATGAATGGGGTCCCTTGGCGACGAGGCAACACAGCTCCTCGTTGAGCTTCGTGACGGTGCTTGCATGAAGCCTACAAAGGCAGCACGTGCGACAAGCAAGACGGAGGACACTGACGAAAAGTGCGATGTGCTTTGGTTTTTGTGTGCCCTTCCGTTGCAATGACTTTCGGAGAAGTTGGAATGAACAAGCTTAAAGATGGCACGGCCACCGGCTGTCGTGCCCGTAGGCTTGCTGGTGCCAAATCAGGCCGCCAAGCTTGATCCACTCATTGAAGGTAGTGTCAGGTGCTGCATATGCTCTTGCTGGATCCGACTGAGTGCAGCAATTCTACGGACATGTTCATTGCAGCCCTCGTGCTGTGATGATCTGTGATGTGAATCTAACGTGCGCGGCACATCGTTGCAAGTGCTTTCTATGTCGAACGCCAGCAGAGCTCTCACCCTCTATAGTCGTGGCACGTATTGGGCACACTGAGAAATTGCACATGTCTTTCGGATGAGTGTCTTCTCTGCCAAGGTGAACCACAATCACAAGCCTGGCAGCAAAGTGTTGGCGAGGCTGCGCTGGGTTGGGTCATGCAGCACCTGGAGCTTCAAACACAAGATGTGTGCCTGAAAAATCAGCTTTTCAGCCCTTCCAGGAGGCCAAGTGTGGACTCCTCCTCGGATTGTTCGCACAAAGGATCAGCCTCGGTTTGAGTCTCAGAAGAGCAGCGGAGCAGCTTCTCTGTGGTTAGGTGGTCTGCATCGGGCGTGTGAGCCGAGATTGCAAAAGTCGGGAAGAAGAGGTGAAGCAACGGAGTCGAACATCGGGTCGCAGATTTTGATTGTGCTAAAGTGCTAAAGACTCGCAAGTTGCCAAGCCCGAGCCTAACTTCATCCTTGACACCCGAAGTTGCAGGTTCCATCCGGCAGGCCTTCCATCGTGGCAGGCGGCATCGCGTGCTTTGCTTCTCCAGCGGTTTTGACATCGGCAAAGCTTCAGGACGAGAGTCGGGAACACAAGGATCCCTCCCGACCGTTCAAAAATACTTGGGTTTGCAAGCAGAAGATGCTTGGAGGGTGAAAGCAACTCCAGACTCCGACAGGGACTTCACCTCCTTTACCCACACGCATCGCCGATCCTTCGTGGTCACCCATGCCGAGGCGGGTGTTCCTCGACTCAGGTCCCCCAGGTCCCCCAGGTCCACCTTCACCTATCTCGTTGTGTTGGCCCCAGGGCCGTCTTCGCAAGTAAGGGATGCATTCTGACAGGTTTGATGCAAGCTTGGAGCCTTCAGGGCCGAATCGCAGCGAGTGGTCTTGGAGCTTAGACTTCGGAAGTGCCGGCCGAGACTTACTGCCACCTGCGGGCACACTGCATTGTAAACGGAAGCCGAATGTTGAACTGTTGGAGTTTCGCGGACGAACCCATCTGCCGTGCCCTTGCATTCCGAGCGCGGTGAAGAACGTGCTGATCCCAGTTGCAGCATTGCATGTCCGCGTCCAACATCAAAACTCGTCTTGCAAATGCAGGTTTACCCGACCACCCGACCACTGTCACCGAAGACCTTGTCAGGCCGCTGCTGCGTGAAGGTCCGGGACGGCCGAACTGCGCGGGAGACCAGGAGAACTGCTGGTGAAGTTTGCATCAGAGCTTCGTGACAGTCGAAGTGTCGGCTGTCGTGTAGCAGGCCCAAACCGGGCTTTTTGATCAATATGGGGACCCAAACCTTGACAAAACTGCTCCGGGCTTACTTTGGCAAGACTCTTTCTGTCTCCATCTACGCTTGCTGCCTTGTATCCTACTGCTTTCTTCCGTTCATGACAACATAGCAGTAAGCGTGAGTTCACAGACGTTTTGTTAGATTGCCGACTCTGCATCTAGCAATCACTGCACAGATGCGACCGTCAGTTTTGCGTTTGTGTTCTTTTGGGTACCCGTTGGCCCGTTAGCTGCGCGAGTTGGCACAGAACGTCGGCACTTGAGGGGTTGCATCGGAAGTTTCGGACTCAGGGCTATCCCACCTCCGTCAGTCCCATGCGGCGAGAAGGCTGGAGACGTGTTTGCTGGGTTTCGAGTCCACCCGCGCACTTGGCAACTGGATTCTGTTTAATCTCCTTGTCACCCACAGAGCGACTGTGCGTTTCTGATATGGGGGGATGCTGCACAAAAAGGACTTGAGTTGTTTGTTTCAAGTCTTCTGCACGGCTCATACCAGGGTAGGGCTCACGCTCCACAGCTTTGCCCTAGTTGGAAGCTGAAGCGAACGAGTTTGCCCGGCCAGGCGTGTCAGTCTCACCTTTCGTTAGAACACCGCCTTACGCCCAGAAAGCCTGTCGGTCGTGAAGTGCTCTTTGAGTTCATGGATGCCACGAGTTTCATGGATTTTCCCACGCAGTCCCCGGGCTTTGCTGCGAGTCATTTGCGAATGATGCGGTCACAAGTGCTGCCGGACGCAGGAATCACATGTAGGACTCAGTTTTTCCACTCCGTAATCGTATACTCGACGACAGAACCGCACATAGCAAGTTGGCCATACCTATTTCACTATTGGATATCCTCTCAGGACGCCTCGTTGTGTTAAGGCTCTTTGGGTTTGCTGGCTCCGAGCTTCTAAGGTGCCAGTCCCCCTGCAGAGCCACCGTGATCCAGAGGCCTGCTTTCTGAACATTGTGGTCACAGGGGATGATGGTGATGTATTGCAGCTTGCACCTGATTCCAAATCACATTGAATAAGTTCGCACTTAAAAGAGCGGGAGGGTGGGGTCCATTGTTATGCTGTTGAATTCTGTATCGACGACAAGCCTGCAGCCTCACGCCTCTTTCTGTGCAGTACTGCAGACCTTTCTTGTTGTGGCTACTTGCAGCTTGCAGTCCCCCTTTATCTGTATTCTACGTACTCACTCACTCACTCACTCACTCACTCTCTCTCTCTCTCTCTCTCTCTCTCTCCCTCTCTCTCTCTCTCTCTCTCTCTCTCTCTCTCTCTCTCTCTCTCTCTCTCTCTCTCTCTCTCTCTCTCTCTCTCTCTCTCTCTCTCTCTCTGAGTCTATGCATACACACATACATGGGTACATGCATCTATAGGCCAGCTCCTCCGTCGCCACGAGCCATCGAGAAGCTGCTCAACGTGCCCAGCTTTCCTGGGCTCCAAGAGCTTGCAAGTGCATCCCCTATAAACACCTTAAGAGTGTGAGCGCCGAAACCCTATGAGTCGAGAGTGAAAATCCTCTATCCTCGTACTCGATAGACCTCGCCTGGAGTGTCCGAGAGCGAGTGCTGAATCCTATATCTTCATTCCTGTCCTCATGGCTCGGATTGAGAAGTTGAGGGAGGTTTATTACGGATTGTTCTTTAAGCGTGGGGGCATGTCGGATCACTGCCGCCACCTTCCTTGCTCTGCAGCCACTGATATTTGGGCTACAGTGACCCACTCATGTGAAGCAGTCTTGAATGCAGTTCAGCAATTTGAGCCAGCCGCCCACTTTTTGAACTATATAGTACTCCATGTTATAGTGATCGACAAGCAGTATCGTGCTCGTGGCTTGCTGACTTGAGCGCTTTAGTTTGAACGCAGCTGCCAGCTCCTGGAACATCGGCCGCAGCAGGAGGCATGTTTCCTTCTTGTATTCAGGGTGGAGCTTCACTGGGGCTAGGGCGCAGAACATCAGTAGGACAATCCGCCTGGTTCTTTTGTGTGTGTCGTCTGCGAGCATCCCTTGACTTGTCACACCACACCCAGGGCTAGGCAGCCAACTTCGAAGACCCTTTTTTCAACTTTAAGGAAAATCCCCGCCCTTCAGAGGTAGAAAGGTTTGGGGGCCCTTGCAAGGCAGAAAGGGAAGTCGGAAGCCCATGGCCGGGATCTGAGGCCATGACGGGCTTTGATTCGTCCTGGAGCTGCAGCGACCTGGCGCACAACCTGTGCGACGTCCTGGCAGCTCGGCAAAGCTTGACTCAGCTTTCCGTGCCCGAGCTTCGGAGCTGGACTCTCCAGCACGCACCCTCTCCTGGCACAGAGCAAGGCCGTGACGGCCCGAAGCCCCGAAGCCTCGCCTCCATTACTCGAGTGCTACAACCTTGGGTTGCTGTTGCCTCTGCCAGGTCAAGAAGGGCCAGCTGAAGGACTCTGAGTTCCTTTTGGGATACGAAGTGTGGAGTGTGGAGGTTGAGGGGTGAAATTGCGTGCCTTTGTTGCTGAATCTTGCGAACTCTTGAGGCATATTTCAGGGAGCATGTCCTTTCTCTGCCGCTTTTGGAAATACAAAGGTCGTTCGCTGGAGTTCTGAGGCTCCGGCTGAGGTAGATCTGGACTAAGAACTCCCCTTGAATTCGACGGTTTGTCTCCAGGAGAAGCCCGCATTCATCCGCACAGATCGAGAGGCAGGATGATGGCATGGCCAGAAAGTCGCTGCAAGCTTCCAAGTCTGAGGCTTAAGAAGTTGTATTCTCTACGCGGAGAGTCTTAGTCTTAGCGGTTCAGATTCGCCGCATGGGGTGAAAAACTTTTTGAGCCTCAGAAGCGTCTCCTCTTTGTGTCAGAGGCCCGAGGATGTCTTGAGAGTTCGAAACAGAATCTAGCCATGGGTAGAACATTCCGGATCTTTTGCGGTGTCAAGCCCCCTTGAGCATAGCCGTGCGTCATGGGACCTTCTCAGCCTTGATGGCTTCTGACAGGCCAAGATTTTGCAGATTTTTGAGGGCATCGGCCTTGATGGGGCGAAGATGTCCACTTTCGACAATCCTGGCCCTTTGGTTCCTGGGCCGAGAGCAGCATTCGAGTTTTTGTTCGGAGACACTCCCAGGTACAGAGCAGCTCAACGCGAAACTGTTGACATTGAAGCTTTCTTCAGTTCGTTGAGCTATCATCGGTATGGAGTCAAAGACCATGCAAAGAGTTTCTTGCATCCTTGCTTCAGGAGATGATGGTCCGCAAGAGCACCAATGGCGAGACCTGGGTCCAGCACGTCCTCGATGGCTTAACCAGCACCTGTGATGGAAGCGGACGGATCGGGTCAAGAGTGGCAAACGCATTAATATGGGGTTGTTCGTTCAGCGATGTGAGCATGGGGCATCCTCTTCGCCTTCATATTGTGGCTTCCGCACAAGGTTGTTCCAAGTTAGGCCTGGGAAAGCCCGTGGCTGGCAACATTCTGCGCTCTAAGCGCCAGAAACCTGGGAAGCTCGAAGCCCGAAGAACAGTAAGCCGAACGTTTGGTCTCCTCGGCCCCGCCGGCAAGGCATGCTGCCCGAGGACAGGGGCTCCACTCCTACCATGGTCTCATCACGATCATGTCATGAATCAGCTGTTCCAGTAGACTGCAGTAGCACTGCCAAGACCAAGACGGCAGTTGGCGGCAAGCCTTGCAGATTTTTTGGTGCATGTTGCGGAAGCCCGAAAGCAATAGAGGCTTCTGTTGGCCTGTTGGTGTGTTCGCTACAGCGACGGGTGCCAGATCGATCCGGTATCATGTGCCGACAGCCCTCACCCAGGATTCCTGCAGTCTGAAGCTTCAAATCTGAGCATTGCCGTCTCCAGGATGTTGCAAAAGCACAGAAGACGATGACTATGGATGAGGCTGGCATGCACACTGGATTACGTAGTTGTTCGATCGCTTGCCAAAGCGCAACGCTGCTTCAACAACCTTCCATCTTTCGATTGCACTAACAGCCTCCAATGCCAGACCGCCAAAGAAGAGTTGGCAGCAGCAAAGGAGAGGCCCAGTCTGGGAGGGTCCCAGTCGTCGTGCTACCATGGTACCATGTGTGTTTCTCAGACTATTGAAGCTGTGTGTGCTAGAAGGGTTCCCGCAAAGGGTTCATAAGGCTTGCTAGACTTGAGCTTCGGCAAATGCTCCGGACCGAGCGGCCCTTGCAGGTGCTTTGAAAGCTGAGGTCCTCGTAGCGTCTGTGGACAGGGTACGTCTCCGGGGGGAATTTGCTTGTGACGGAGCTGGTGTTGCTGTGAAATACACAAAAACTAATCATTCCAAATGCTGCTGCAACTGCAACTGCCATACGGCTATGGAGACGGCTACGCCTACTGCTGCTGCTACGGCCACAGCTACACCTACTGCTACGGCTACTGCTACGCGACTACGGCTACTGCTACTTCTACTGCTACAACGACTGCGGCTACGACTACGGCTACTGCTACTTCTACTGCTACAACGACTGCGGCTACGGCTACGGCTACGGCTACGGCTGCTGCTGCTGCTGCTGCTGCCGCTGCCTGCTTACTGAAGGGATTTGTTTATGTCGGGATCACTACTATCCTTTGGCGCGTCAATCGCTGACCTTCTGGCTTTGAACTTAGGGCAGACATATCTCATGGCATCAGCAGCTTTGTTTCTGGATCTCCCAACTCCAGATCAGAAAACAAAATCCAAGCATAATTTCCTGACACCAGCTGGAAACCTAGCTGCTTTGAACACTCTGCGCGCACCGCTACGGGCAGAACTGGGAAAGGAACCCTTCCGGAACCCTTTGTGGGAACCCTATAACAGACGATTCTAAAGTTACTCTCAACTAGAACCCCTTTGTTCCGGTCCCACGGTTAGACGCCCCCTGTGGAGGTCTGCCCAGCGACGGGAGCGCATGCACGAGGCAGAGAAAGAGAACGACCGAGGCCGGGGCGCATATGTGGAAGACACGAGAGTGGCGATACAATTGGTAAGAGGATCCCCTTTATGCAGTCCCCCATCTGTCTTGATGTGTGTATATATGTCAGTCTATGTGTATGTGTGTATATATATATGCATATGTATACTCATCGGTTTACAAAGACTTGTACTATATTATTCATACATACACTATACGCACAGCATACATGTTATGATATAACTCCGCATTTTTCGAAGCTTACCGTGTCACAGGTTGTATTCTAGGGCGAATGCTTACATGCATCTTTCTGTGCTCTGGTGGCCCTTGGCCAACAATCTATAGCAGACATTTCAGCCGAAAGCTGATGTCGGCGAAAGATCCAGATCACACAGTCAACATGCCGGTGCGTTTCTCATGCTTGCGCGAGGAGGTGATCGAGATAAAGAGGGAGGAGATCGCCCGAAAGGCAAAGGCGCCACACTTTCCGAGTTAGTTTCGCATGAAGGACAAGTTGCATCAGCAAGCACGTAGAGCCTCCAGTCCGAATCCTCGTCTATGTTTCCAGCAGCCCCAGCACTTTCCCTTTAGCAACGACGCTGAAGAGTATCCGTTCTGCTTGAAGCAGCAACGGGGAGCTTCTCATACATGCTAAGCTCTAGCTGTACTGCACCACAGACTATAGATACTATAGATGGAAGATCCGGATCAGCGTCTGGTCGAAGATGCAATCTTGGCGGAGGATGCACAATGGGAATGCCCCGGGCCAGAAAGTTCCAGCCAATGTAGAATTGAAAGCTCAAGTCACTCAAGTGAAGGACCTTGGCCAATAGCCTTTTGATCCTGCTTGCAGGAAAAGGCGATCGCCCGGATCGGGAGCGCAATGGCGGCAACGATCGCTTTGGTGGCAACGATCGTGGTGGCAACGATCGTGGTGGCAACGATCGCTTCGGCGGCAACGATCGTTTTGCCCGAGACAGGGATGAGGACTTTTTGAGCAAGAACGGCTGCAAGCTTGCCTGGGGACCTGCGAATGTTCACCAGGAAGGCATGAGGAGGCAGCTAATTACAACATACAACACATATTTAACATGTCCTGACTCATTCATAAAGCTTTGCGGCAGGACCGTGGGGATCGTCGCGACGGTTACAAGGGCGAAGGAGGGGTTGCAGATGTGTTCAAAGCTTCTCGCAAGCGTGTATGGAACCTGCCATGAAATCTTCGAGCACGATCCTACTGTTTATCATCGCCGATGCTATCGCGTGTGGACAGGTTCAGCTTCAGAGTTCAGTCGATGGCCAGGTTTGCGGGATTCCTGCACTTCGGACTGTCTGTTGCACAGCACAAGCTGCGGACAAGCTCGCGTGGAAGGGACAGCCTCAACCTGAGTCCCTCCAGGCAGACGACCACGCGAGGGTGGTGCGGAGAACATGGCGCGGTGCTGAGGTTAAGTGGGCCCTTCAGATTCGACCTGAAAGACTGCACCCAAGAATCCCCGAAGAAGCCCGGAATGGCCCGGAACCTGAATG